GTCATGGCAACACGAGGGTCGCTGTCGACGAGTGACCTAGGAGTCAGATGGCCCGGGCACCCCTATCGAGTGGAGTGAAAAGGTCGTGGATGGTCTTCGACGAGACCAAATCCGAGATGTTTCTCCAAGTCGACGGCGAGACCATACCCTGAGGATGTCGATACAGTCGGATCCCGTCCATGCAACCACCGGATCCAGGACAACCCAACTGTGAAGTCCTACATTTCGACTTCCCAGCGCACGCCGGAACTCACCAAGACATTATAGATGGTGAGGATGGCGGCAAAGGGTGTTTGTGGGACACGGCGAAGTGTAGACTTCGGGCGTGGGTGCGACCGGGGAATGCGCACAGGGACAGCGCTGGGTCGACACTGATGCCGGAAATGGGTGGATCCGGTCTCGTCAAAATCAAATAGTGCTCAGATGTACAAACAAGACAAGAAATCGGTGCAAAGTCGGCCAGGCTCTCGCCTTTTATCCATTGTGGGTTGCAAGGGCGTGCGCCAAACAATTCCCACCTTCGACACTGAGATTCGGTCAATGTGGAGGCGGCTACTATCAGCTGCTGCCACCTACCGCCGCGCTGCCGCTGCCTGCTGCCGTGTTTTGCGACCCCCAACCAACATCACACATCGCGAGCCAGAGTCACTGCGATCTGGGTGCCCGAGGGTGAAAGGTGTGCTTGGGACACGTGGACCTCTGGTCATACGTTGAAGACCGCGCATCCCCTGTTTTCTTCACAGGCTTTTTGTAATACACCGTAGGAGGGGTGCAGACCAAACTCTCCACCTACACCATCCCTTCGGACAAGGATTGGCTGCCTTGCATTGATGACTGTTTCATCTGTGATGCGAGCGACGCCCGCTGGGTTACAGGGTTCAGCGTTCGAAACAAGTTTGCGTGCATGTTGCGGGGTACTCCCGCCCTCCTCTGTTCCCTTTTTCATATCCCAACGTCGCCAATCCCAAGGCACCTCAACCTATATCACCCGTCTCCCAGAGGAGATCGGGGACAGTTGTAAGAACCCTATTTCGGGAAGTACGACATCTGTCCCTGTTACAGAGGCATATCGCCTGCCCCGCAACACTTGGTTTCGGAAACATGGTTTCCCGATCTTGCTGGGAACAGGAGGACAACGCCGCAGCGGAACCTGCGGGCGACGACGAGGAGGTTCGTCATGAGAAGGACTACGAGATATCACCCGCGCTGCTACAGTCTACGCTGACGGTGCCATGGCAGGCCCCAGACAGGCTACCTCCCAGATATGGCCGACAGAATCGCGCAATTTGCGGCCGAGCGTGAAGCAACTGAGCATGAGCAAGTGCTCGCGGCAGTGATAAGAGTCCTGGACATCGACAACACTACCTCAACGCCCTTGGAGAAAGAGAACCCTCGGACCAGAGGCATTCTTCACCCCGGGGCCATCTGTATGACCAGGCCTCACCCCTGGCTGACGCCCATTCCAACTGGCAGCACACTGTTGCCAAAATCCTGGCAGACATCTGTCCCAACTGGCGGTACAATGCCACTATACAATCTGGCAGACGCCTGCCCCAACTTGCGGAACACGGCCGCCTGACGACCTTGGAGCTGCGTGCATCCTGGGTGCGTCTCAGCACCCTCATGGCTAACGAAGCAGCACAGGCTGAGGACAGCCTGCAACTCAGGCGGGGGAGAATGTTGTGGGGATTCCCCTTGACCGGGCCCTTTCCCCACTTTCCACCTGTTCCCGCTCTGCACCGAGTCCACGCCTCCTTGCGACGTGTATGAATCCCAAGCCCCTCACCGTATTCGGGGTCTTGCCTGTAACATTCCTATCTTAGGTCAAATACAGCAGTCCACCGTTGTGGGGGCCAGCCCGCCCCCACAACACCTTTGGGCGGGGCCGCGGTGATGTCAAGTCACTCACTACGCTGGGGCGCTAAGCTTTGCACCTCCTCGACAGCCAAGCACACAGGGTATGGAATATTGTACCAGACTTCACTTCGTTCGTGGAGCGTGCGATGTGCCCTTCCAAGGATGGGCCCCCAGGGCATTTGTGTAGGCGCTTCTGGCCTCGGAGCTCCCAGGCACCATGCCTTGAAAGGCAGCCATACCCCTGCAGGCATACTGAGTACAGTATCTCGCAGGGCTTATAGACAGCACCAACGGTACGTAAAGATTGGGAATAGGTAAAAGTATTGAAGTAAGCCAGGGAAGCACTGTTTGAGATGAATCGAGCTGCAGAAATGTATCATCATGGCATGGTACCACATGGTACAGGTGCGCTGCTACTCCAAATCTTTCAGCATCTAAGCCTCTGCGTTTGCAAGATCGAACCACGTGTCAATAGCGTTCCACCAGCTGCCTATGAGCATGGTGCTCCATGTGCTTTGGTCACACCCGGCAGGGAACCATCGCCCTACTTGGTCTCAATTCCAATCTTTCACATGGCATACTGGTTTTTTCACAGCTCTTGTTGGGTTCCAACCCATTGCAGGTACACGGTGCAAGGCTGCGGGGGTGTCGCGAAATAAAATATCCCGTCACTCCCTTTGTTGGCGCGCGGATCTTCCGGAGCCGATTTTGTCCGACTTCCCTCCCAGCAGCCCCCCATATAATCCTCGTAGGCAAAAGTCCAAGCTCCCTCGGTGGACCAGATGAGGCTCGTCGACACTCATGAATCTACTGATGTACAGATATTCCATCTTGTGGCGCAGTCTGGGTCTCCATCGGTGCGCTGTATTCGTCAAGAAGAGTGTCGGAACCCTTAGTAATCGGCCGTCAGCCTGAGACTCCACGAGGAGTATTACACCTCGCCACACGGCATGACATCAACTCCTGGGTTCCCTATATAACGCGGCGCTCCTCTCAAGAACCCCACAGACTTTTAACATTCCCTAGTGTTCACCATCGATTGTTTTGCTGTCCAGAAGTTCCTCTTCTATTCACCAGAGCATCGATCACTCCACCTCCGGCTAGACATAATGCTGAGGATCGTCGCCTCCCGTGCCAGCCGTGCCCGCGGCGTCGCTGCCCGTCTGCTGAACTCCAGCACCTCCGTCACCGCGCCTTCCATCGCTGAGACGGTCACCCTGCGAGCCTTCACCACCACCGCGCTGGTGGGTGGGCTGTCGACCTGGGTTTCGGGATGTACCCTGGGGGGTGTAGTCATCATCGAGACGGAAAGTTTGCCCCTGCGATCGAAGTCGTATCCAAGCCCTGCACTTATTATTTATCCTGAATTATCATTGCAAAGTTCTTTCTGAAATCGCATCCCGCCACCCCCGCCGATCTCGCAGAAGAGCGGCGCCCTGCCCATCCCCACCGGAGCCCATGGCGTCAACTACCACAACGCCAACCCCGAGGGCGGCTACTCCTTCTTCATGCCACGCCGTGAGTCACCGACTGCAAGCTTTCCTGTGGTGAATCACCTTGAGTACATCTGTACATACACTGATGTGACCCATTCCCACCCATACGCATGCACTGCAGAGTCCCTGATCGGCCCCGGCGCCCTGAAGACCGCCGGGAACATCGTCAAGTCCCTGAACCTGAAGAAGGCCATGATCGTGACAGACGAGGTGAGGGCGGTGGGAGTCGATGGGGGTCTGGATTGGTGCAGCCCATGGCCTGGGTGCATTGCTGGGTTATCCACCCCTGGAGTCTCATACGCCGTCTGTGCCCCGCACTCCCATACTCCCAGCTGACACCCCCGTTCCTCCTCTCCACCCTGTCAGGGCCTGGCCAAGGCCGGTGCGGTGCAGCCCGTGCTGGACATGCTGGCGGCCAACGGCGTGGAGGCCATCGTCTTCCCCGGCGCCAAGCCCAACCCCACTGATGAGAATGTGGCTGACGGCCTGGCCATGCTGAAGCAGCACGGTTGCGACTTCATCGTCTCCTACGGCGGCGGCTCCTCCCACGACTGTGCCAAGGGCATCGCCATCGTGGCCACCAACGGCGGCCGCATCCACGACTACGAGGGCGTGGACCGCTCCTCCAAGCCCATCCTGCCCCTGGTGTCGGTCAACACCACCGCGGGTACCGCATCGGAGATGACGCGCTTCTGCATCATCACCGACTCCTCCCGCCGCGTGAAGATGGCCATCGTGGACAGCGCCGTCACCCCCACCATTGCCGTGGACGACCCGGAGCTGATGGTGAAGATGCCCGCTGCGCTGACCGCGGCCACGGGCATGGACGCGCTAACGCACGCGGTGGAGGCCTACATGAGCACCATCAGCAACCCGGTGACCGATGCCTCGGCCCTGCACGCCATGAAGCTGATCAGCGCCTACCTGCGCACCGCCGTGTCCAACGGCAAGGACGCGCGCGCGCGCGACATGATGTCCTACGCCCAGTTCCTGGCGGGCATGGCCTTCAACTCCGCCTCCCTGGGCTACGTCCACGCCATGGCGCACCAGCTGGGCGGCTTCTACAACCTGCCCCACGGCGTCTGCAACGCCGTCCTCCTCCCCGTCATCCAGGACTTCAACGCCTCCGCCGTCCCGGACCGCTTCGTGGACGTGGGCGAGGCGCTGGGCCTGGGCCGGCTGAGTGCCGCCGAGGCGCCGGCCGCCGTCGTGGCCGCCATCCGCGAGCTGTCGCGCGATGTCGGCATCCCCGCCAACCTGGAGGCCCTGGGCGTGAAGCCCGAGGACTTTGACGTGCTGGCCGAGAACTCGCTCAAGGACGCGTGCGGGTTCACCAACCCCCGCCCCGCCACCAAGGACGAGATCGTGGACCTTTTCCGCAAGGCCTACGAGCAGGGCAGCTCCGGCCAGGCCATGGCCGCCTCTGCCTGATCGGGAGGCCAGTGCGGTCCCCCTCGCCCCCCCCCTCTCCCCAAGTTTTCTGGAGTCTGAAGTGTGGGCAAATTTTTGGCAGAATACCACCGAGCACAGGGCTGATGCCCTTTGCCAGTGAACCCTCTTTTTCCCCCTTGATGCATCCTGGAAGTTCCTTTGTAAAGTGCAAACACACAGCCGTAAAGGTCTGACAGGGAGGGGGCTCGAGGGCAACCCGTGAAAGCACGGAATACCCTTCCCCCCTCAACCGGGCTTGCGCCGGTTGCTAGCAGCTTATTCCCGCGGACGGGATATCGCTGGCGCAGTTGGTTGCCTCTGATGGCGAACCGGGGGGTGGGGGGGTGGGAGGAAAGGAAGGGGAAGCAGGGGGTCCACCAAAAGCTGTGGGACGGGCCTCCCGGGCAAAAAAGCACTTGGTCAACATCAGCATGATAACCGCTCCATTCACGCCGCGGTTGACAACGTTGACTCTGCAGCCCTTGTTGCCGCACCGCTTGGTGTCCCACACGTCCACCAGCTTCTCCTCGCCGTTGCGAACCCGCACGTACTGGTGGGCGTGCAGGGTGGCGTGACAGGCGCAGCACAGTTTAGAAGTCCTGTGCTCGTTGATCACCACCACCCTGCACACCCGCCGCAGGCGCCACAAGAAGCGTATCCAGGGCCCCGACGTGGCCCCCCCACATGATGCCCCCCCGGTCTTGGGCCGACCAGATGCCCACGCCCACGACTGTGGTCATGCCCGGATGGGGCCCGGAATTGCTCCGCCAGCCGGTTGATGGCCCGCTCCCTTGCGACGTAGGCTTGATGCCGCAACTTCTGGAACGGCTTCCCATGCATGTGCCAGGCCAGGCCCCGTCGCAAGGTGGGGACGATCCACGCGACCCGCGACAAGAGCACCTCTGTGCTGGCTGTCTTGTGGGTTGGGCACCTGTGGGAAAGGGGGGTTAAGAAAGGGGGGTGGAAACATGCGGCCCTCGCCGTGCGGGAAGTCATCCGCGCGCTCCGTAGGAATGGTTGCCTGCGTCACGGGCTTATTGTAGTAGGTACCGTGGACTGTGGCCTTGACGGCAACTACTATGTCGGCCCTGGTGAAGGGGCCCTCCGATGGTTCGAATAGCGGGGGCACGCCGCGCATTGTCTGCAACTGATTTGAGAATTTAAATGTGAGTAA